CATCATCATCCACTGTTAGCGCACTTGCGTTTCAAGATGTTTGTACATGTCCAGAGGCTCCATTTTCACCTTGCTTTGATCCTCCCACCACATGTGAGCACACATGCAAACCTGTGGGCGCAGATGGCCCATCAAAGCAGAAAATGACTATCCTGTGTTCAAATCAGTTGATTCCCGATCACACGTTCAAACAAAAGAGCCCCAGTGTGCAGGAAAGCCCGCACCACCCATCCAACTATATACAGCCATGCATGCCGGAATGCACCGCTCAGGCACTGCCCTTTCCCTTCCGGGGCCGCTTGGGTGCAGGCTCAGTTGGCTTAGACTCTTCAGTCTTTGGGGCGGCGGCTTTGCCGTTCTTTTTGGCCTTTTTGGCCTTGCCCGCCTTTGATTTTGGAACAGCCTTAGATCCTTTTGGATGAGAGGGCGCATGCCCTTTGGCACGTCCACCCTTACCCTTGGGAGCCTTGTTCCCCTTGGCGACATCTTTCTTGAGCTGCCTTGGATGTGCAGCGGGGAGATATCAACACAAGACTTTTTCGCTATAGAACAAAAAAAGGCTACACTCTTTTGATGAGGGGTGCAAACAAGATGCTTGTACTCAGCATCCAATGTCACCAGCTGCACGCACCTCATAGATGCATTGGTTAGTTTTGTTTTTTTTCACACATCACTGACATTGCACACAATCATAGTCGAATCCAAGACGCGGGGGGCTTGACATTGGCCTTCTCCTTTTCGATCTGGCTAACAAGCCTTAGTCACGCGCGTTTTGACACGTTGATCACGCGTATGTGTTCTTCAAAAGGGCTCAATCATGAAGGATTTCACTGCATGGTTTCAGCTTCGGTAGTGACTCTCACAACGACCCCGCATCAGTGGAGCGTCACTGGGTCTCTGAAAAGACCTATATACATAGTATACTAGGAACGGTCCGTCCTCGCTTTCGACTACGCCCTCACCGCCGTCTCTCTCATTCTTGCATCCCTGTTTGCCTGAGATGGTGGGGCACCAGGCCAAATAGATGGAAATCTCCACAACATTGAAACATGTAGTGTGATGCAAAACACCATTGAGACAGGCTACCCATGAACCGCTGGATCATAGCTGCTTCCACAAAACTTGCAGGTACAGTGTCAGCAGATGCGAAGACTACTGTCATGCCTTCCCACTTGTTTCGCCATTCGTTGACATACCCAAACTTTGAATTGTAGAAGCGATGGTATGCTGAATGGGTATACCCTATTTTGTACATCAATGGTGAACCCCTCTCCAAGTGGGTGTCCAAGGCCCTGAAGCAATGTTTGAGCACTTGACCTGGAAGAGAACCCCTCGGTGGGAGGTTGCAATCCAGCCTAGGATCAGCCTCTATCAGCCGAAAGCATTCTTTGGTTCTTGACAACATCATGACAGAAGTATCCAAAAGGTCCACGAGAGAAGAAGGCTTACTAGGAGTTCCACGTGCGTTCTTGCTTTGTTTGTGTGAGGCTCGACCTTCATTCGTGAGTTCCTGGAGAGGCCAGGCGCTCAAAGAAGAATGCGCCTTAGTGGTCTATACTCTGTACTCCGTGCAGCAGTACTGCCATGCAAAAGAATACATTAAACTACTGCAACCGTGTTTTTGCCGGGTGCATTCAAGGCGCTTCTCGGTTGAATTGAATAAGCTCTGAAAGCCAAGCATGTTCATCATCAGAACCAGCTGTGTCCATTTTGGTCAACCCTCATATAGGCCCCCCTCCCCGCTCGAGCCGTCCCATATTCTGCATACATGTGATGTAGATCTTGCATTCGCATGTTCGCATCCATCCACGAGATTAAAAACATATTATGCAATGTTCTTGTATATACGTGCATATGCGCACACTGAGCTGCAAACAGGTAGCTGTTTGAACTTCTCGCTCCCTCGGTCCGGGTGGTCCATTTTGAAGTCCGTCAAAAGCTTGGCAAAGGCCGTGTAGGAGGTATCGAGGTTCGACTTGCACTTGTCCAAGTTCTCCGACAACCTTTGCGCATATTCGGTCATACTACAAGCACTGCTTTTAGAACAGAATTCCAATCATCGAGGTAGTGAGGTGCAGACACTTTGCATGGACCTGTCGAAGGCGACTTATCGGATTCCAACCAAACCTTCATGTCCTGGATCGTGTTGATCTTGTCTCTGACCGTTTGCATGAACTTCTCGAGGTCCGGGACAACCTGCTGAACGGTGAGGCCGTCTAGCGCCACGACGACATCGGTGGGTTGGAGGAGGTGTCCAGTGTCAATCCTTTGAAGTATAAACAGCTGGCCTTCTCGCCTAGAACCTCTACGTTTGGGTGATCACTTCCGCTGGCTTGATTCCATAGATCGGTCTTCAAGGCACTCGTGTCCGGGGCATCAGCAGACATCTTTTCCTTACAACCACTTGGTTCTTTGGTTCAGCATGAACCTTTCCGAATCAAATCATGTCGCACTTGAGCAAAACACAGCCACTGAACTCTGGGAACCCTACGTCCATCTCCGTAGATTCAACCTCTCGCAAGAGTTCTGAGCGTTTCAGCAAACTCTTGCATTCATCTTCGACGAAGTACTCCATTTGGGTTTCATCGTACTTCCAACACCTGCACGCATGAAACATTGAAAGGGGTCCTTTTTGCCGTGGGATGCGTGACTATAAAGTTATAGATGCAGTTGAAACCTTTACCAATTGTGGTGAATGAACTCATGCCGAACCTGACCAGGGTGTTGGGGAATCGAGAGCAGTAGTTGACGATTGCTTGTGCATCCTTCCTTACATGCATTGCTTTGCGCAACCACTCTATAGGCCATATGAAAATTACGCAACAAACATGGATTTCTTTGGGTCACCCCGATCGCATGAACAGGCGATATCACTGCAAGACTCGCGGAATAGTTGTTCTGCAGCATCTTGGCCCAGGTCATCCAGGTCCCGTGGATCTCTTGCTCGCGGAGCTGCATCTTCTCGCGGACAACTGTCACCCGCGTGAGGAATTCTGTCTGCAGGGGAGTTGTCAGCTGTGGGGGGTGGGGGACCAAGTACAATATCATGCAACCAATAAAGCAATATCACAGACAAGTCCCAAACAGCATTAGTTATACATGCACGCTTAGCATGGTTTGTAAACACCCACCCTAATCTTTTTGAAGTTCTTTCGGTCGGTGCCATGCTTCTTGATTGCATCACACAATGCAATCTCCAGCCACTCCCGACGCTCTGCATTGTTGTAGTCAGCCCTCACTGACTCGTCAACATGGCACTTGCCACTCGGCTTCGTCTCAACCATCCTACGGAGTCGCATTCGTAATGCATCGTGGCCCAAAACCTGGGCTTGCACACGCACAGACATGCGGCTTCGATCATGAGAGCACTTGGAATTAAGAAACATGCGAGTTCCACACAGCGAACATGAACGGGTGTTCTTTCCTCACATAAAGTTGTTGCATAAGTCTAATCGAGAAACCTTGTGT